CTAGGTGTAATCTACTATAGTACTTTATTTCTCAGTACTACAGCATTAGGTGGCAAAATAGGCATTTAGCATTATCAGTTGCACATACAATGGAAATAGATACATCATAGAGAAAGAAGAAATGAAGGTGTAATTCTGCACTGATCAACTCATCTTTAACTCCATGATCTCCAGGAGTGGTGTCTATAAATCAACCATGTTAGGGTCAGGGAAGTTCAGTAAATGATGACTAGTAGAAGTAAATACAATCCAGATAATTTAAAATATCTTTATTTTTAAAAATTGTATCAGGAAAATAGTTTTAAGCTTTTCATTATGTCACAAAATCATAATAATAGGAACAGAGCTTTCTTGCTTTCTTGCTACATTACAGAAACTGGGAAAGAATGTGATATAATACCAGCCAGCTCTCATTACTGCTGAAGGAATGTGCCATGATTAAACCTATATACAGAAAGAAATGGAATGTAATTCTTAAATGTTGATTTGCTTTGAACACATTCCACATGCCAAGGAATGAGTTTCCAGTATAGTCTTCCATTTCTAAAGATGGGGAGGACACCACCTCTACAAAATTAACTACAACCATCCTCTTCTGAAAATGAACACTACTTAGTTAAAGATGTTTGTACACATTTCCTGGCATCCAAAACCACTAAATCCTTTGAGAACTACATGTGAAACAAAATTCTTCTCCTAAGAAGAATTTACCTCTTGGTAAATTCAAGAAATCAAAGCCCTTTTTTCTGTAGTCACGGAACAGAAGAAATTTTTGTATTTCTAAATATTTATTCAAAAGTGTCACTCATATAACACCAATACCACTGATACGATATCATAATAATACCAACTATTACATTATTTTCTCCATGTGGATTCTTCACCCCGTTGGTGTCCTAAAGATACCTGACCTTGCCCCTTCTCTACACATTTCTTCCAATCCGTTAGAGGGTGGCTCAGCTGTGAAGCTCTGGCTGAAGAAGGCTGGATTGGATTCCCAAATCCAGCAGCAAGGCTGTCATCCAAAATGATCTGCAGGGTGATGTGGATCCCAGCGAGCTGTCTCATCTTGAAAGGATGTGTTGTTCAGTGATACCAGCCTGCACTGGAGCATGGGGCTCTTGTCAGCAGCGCTGATGATACTTGCTTGTCTCTCTCACAGGATCAGCCCTGCACAGAGTGAAACCTCTGAAATGGAACTGTATAAAGATACAATTTCCTGCAAAATCTTGGCTTCTGAAAGCGAAAGGAGGATCAGTGAGAGATCGGTTCTGTTAATCTGAGAATATTTTGAGAATTTGGGGGATGGTACTGGCTCAGGAACCTCTGGATCATAACATTCCAGTGGGATTTCTTGGTTGGGAAAGCAGCACTTTCTACCACCAGGGACTGCCAGCATCTTTGCTCCCCTACACCACCGCAGTTCCTGGTGCTCTGCCTGGCTTCCCTTCATCTGCCTGCAGATCTTGCACTGGTTCCTCTTGAACATACTCGGTTTAAATCCTTCCTGGCAGTTCTACACAGTGAAGGGAACAGCGAGTGAAAATCCTCATTTCCCAACAGAACTGGGAGATAGGACAGGACACAAACAGCTGTGGGACAGCCAAGGCACAGCCCTGAGAAAGGAGGGTGCAGCAGTTGGCATCTGGTGCCTCTGTGTGTCCGAGGGCAGCCTGGTCCAGGGTGTTCTCCCCACCTTAGGGACAAGACCCAACTGGGACCCAGCCCTGCCAGGCTGATGGGAGCTGGAGCCCTTCTTCTCCCCCTGCTGAATACACACCTACTATACAGGACTGTCCCATGTGATGCACTTGGCATGTATTTATAAAAGTGCTCAAGTCATGTTGGTTGTTTAAAAATTAAGTAAATAAAATCAAATATGGCACATATTAAAGAAAAGTGTACAGCAGTAGCAGCCATCCTGCAGACTGTACATTTTATATGCTGACCCAAATGCAGTGTCAGTTAATGCTCTAACACTTGCAATATATCACAATGCTTTCACTGAAAGGTGAGCAGCGTGTCCAAAAACCTTAGAAAAATTTATAGTTCAGCAAGTTCCTTTCTGAAAAGCAGTTTGAAACCAAGTATGCTTCATGACCTTTAAAAAACACTTTTAATGAAAGAATTTAAATGTTCATATAACTACTGAACAATGAAAGTATATTTAATCCCAAAGGGTTTTTTAAATATTGGCATTTCAATTAATGTCTGACATACTAGTTATCCATTAGAAAAAGATCATGTAGAAAGAATTCTGTATTTAATATAACATTAGGCACTTTTGTCAAATTATATCAGAATTATTGAATGTTAGGTCCAAAGTGCACTGCAAGACCCCAGAAATGAATAATCATCATGTTAGGAAAAATTTAGAAATATGTTAAGTATGTGAAAAGTAGTTTTGTTTTTTTTTTTTTTTTTTTTTTTTTTTTTTTTTTTTCCTGTTCAGTTTAGCAGTGGCCAGTTAATGTTGCAATATTTGCAAACCATCAATGATTCCTCATTACAAGCTCAACAAAAGAGGCAGTGTAGTTGTGATCCAAACAGCCAGTTGCATTATATACTTGGTTTGAGAAAAGAGTATGTGAATTTGTAACAGACTGAAAATTTAATAGTATGACCTTCAATTATAAATGTTTAATTTTCTTCCTCTTTTTTTTTTTTAATGCAAGAATCAGGACACCTGGAATGTCTTTGGGGTGTGCATGAATTTACATAACCATTACAAAATAACTTCTTAACTGTTTCAGTGCAATGTAAAGTCATAAAATCCATAGGTGTATTGTCCATGTTTTGTAGTAAATGCTGCTTAGACTTTAATTGTTTCAAATTCTCTTCTTTTTAACCAGTGGCAAAGCACTGGAAAGATGTTTTATGCTTTATCTTGTGCTCTGCCTGTGCTGTGAAAGAGGTTGGTGTCTAACATTTGCTAGTTTTGTGTTAAACAGCTGATGGCACAGGGGACAGGCACAGCCCTGGCCAAAGAAGGGACCCCAGGATTCCTCTGTTCCCTGCTGAAGTGACACTGGAACAGCAGTGCCACCACTGCAGGAAGCACTGGAAATCTCCACCTTGCACTTCAGACACTTTGGGAGGAATAGGAAGTCAATCCCCACGTACAGCATAGGAGAGGTCACTTTTTATGGACGGAAAGCTTTAAGAACCACATTGCACTTCAAGGCCTTCAGTGGAAAAAAAAAATCAGTCGCACACCCCAGGTTTGAATTAACGAAGCTCAGACTCTGAGCTCTGTCAGGATGGGACCATTCAAGACATGGTTACAGCTCAGCTCCAAGCGACTGCAGAGAAAACCTCCTGGGCTGTGTAGGAGCCACAGGATGAACTCAGTGAAGCACAGGTCATCTTCTCATCCAATGCTGGGGATCCATAGCTGGATCCTCACCTCTGACTACCCACATGATAATACTTCACAGGTTACCTCAGCAGGAAGAAGCCAGAGCAGTGACATGACCAAACGAGTAGAGTCTTAGTAAGGTTGTTAGTAAGAGTAGGTGTGTGATGTATTAGCTTAAACTTCTAAAGTAATCTAGACTGTGGTAACGTTCATAGCTTTCCTGGGAGCTTGTCTCACCCTTGAGGCCCCTCTGGCCCTGCAGAAAGCTGCCTATTACTCTGATGGAGGTCTCCTCATGGGAAGTGTGTTGCAGAGCTGGGAAAACTCTGGAAAGGGTCACCTTTCCCACAGGGTGGGAGTTAAATTAGGCAACACGGCATGGATGCAAGGCTTTAAAAAAAAAAAAAAATTATTATTCTGCACATGGCAGTTCACAGAGCTCAACTGCTGATTTCTACACAGTGCAGATAAGAACCAAATTGGTCCAAAGTTTAACAGTTTCCAGGGCTGGTCTGTCACACCCTGTCCATGAGGAATATTGTCATGGATCGGCAGCACTCCTGCGTGGGACCACCCATTTCAGCCTGCCTCTGAATTCTCCTGCCATGTCTTTTCCCATTTGTACCCTCGGTTTTCCTGTCCCAACTCCCTACACAGCTTCTCTGCCACCCTCTCCTCCCCACCTTGGCTATTCACCCACATTCTTCCCGATCCCCAGCTCTCCCAGGCCATGGCCACTCTCCACATCCTTCCCAGTCCCCTACTTCCCCTCAGACACAGCCATTCCCCACATCCTTCCCCATTTCCAGCCCTCCCAGGACACGGCC